TATTAACTTTTCACTTTCTACAACATAGTATGTATTTATAATTTTTCTTAATTATTAACAACACATACCTTATAGACACAGTTGTTCAAACTTAAAATCTCAAAAGAAAATAATACTTCTTATACTCACTGTAATCACTCAACAAATTTTTATACACAAACAATTTAAAAAGTAATATTTGTTGTTTTTTTTCTTATTACAAGTCCTATAGTTCTACCATATCCATATTATTTTTACCCTACTATTTGTTTTTTTCAATTATTATTTATTTTTATTTGTACTATGTAATTAGATAAAAATGTTATTTTAAACCAAGTGCTTGAATATATAATCAAATTAATTTTCTTTCATAAATATTTATTGTTCTTAGTTACAGTATGTAACTACCAACCTTTTGAACTCTTAAATTAATTTAAACCCAACTATTGAATTGTTTTTTTAGAGTAAGTACAAGATAGTATTTATTTAAAAATATCGCTCACATCCCTAACATTCATGATACTCATAAATGACAACATTTTTTTAACGTGGGATTTTTATAGTAGGGTTGATTATGATTAAAAAGTATATAATTTGACAAAAATTAAAAAAAACAAGAACAAAACCAGAATCTAAACTGGTCTAGTTCCAGCCCACAAAATACCCGAACCATAAACCATCCAATACCCACTCGAACCTGAATGGAGTCTAATTGCCCCCTCATTCATAACTTAAAACATCCAAAAACAAGGCAAAACATTTCTCCATATACACATGCATGTATAACGAGTCTAAACTTTAAACCTTTCCATACTTTTAAGAACACAACTAAAGATATTTCTTTGGCCATAAATTGAGAGAATACAATACATTTCAAATTTAGTTACTGATTTCTCAGGCTTGTTCCTAATCAAAACTAGAATCACTCTTAAATTAGTCTCTAGGAAATAAACAATAAAAAATTGCAACAAATTTCGATGAACATCTTTGTCCAACTTATCGAGCAGGCTGTGCCTGAGCATGCTCAAGAAGCTGGCCGACTAGCTTGTAGGTCCGTCCTTGGAGGGCCTTGGTGTGGTCTATCAACTGCTCATAACTGGAGAAATCCGACAAAAAAATCAAATGTTATTATGAGGAATGGATGGAGTTTATTGTATAACATCGATGTACAAAAAATCTTACACGTTGGGCTGATTAGGCTCCATAATAAAGGTTCCCGTCTCAGTATCAATCTTGGCATTGAGCTTCGAGTTTCGGATTAGATTCACAATCCATCTCTCTCCCTCCTCATAATTTAAATTTAACTTCTCAAAAAGCACCCTTGGAACACATGAAAAATCCAATTAATCAAAATCTAACAAAAACAACTAAAACTTCAGAAAATATATAAGCAGAAACTCCCTTTCATCAGAAAATCTCATAAGTTTTATATTCTTTTAACGATTGTATGTCTTGAAAAAGTTGACAGGGCCACTAGGAACTGGCAAATGGGAATCAAATGAATACATCCTTCCAGTGTCATTTATTTGTTAGGCGACTGTAATTTTAGTGTGCAAGTCAATTGTCCACAAAAGAAGTTAACTATGTTAGAGAAAGAAGGAACTTACCCCATTTGAATACGCTGATGAATTCTGCAGTATGTCTCGATGATAAATAGATGGGCATTCTCAAGAAACTCATCTTTCAATGGCAGAGTTGAAAAGTTACCTTCTTCAACTCTCTTCCCGAGGAAGGGATCATTCAATATCACCTAGACCAAAAGCAGGAAAAAACATGGTGTAAGCATAGTGCCTGAAATTCAGAAATCAAACTTACTACTAAAATATTTTAGGACAACATGATGGAAGGAAACGCCAGCAATTGAGACATTGAGGAACTTAACAAAATCTGTTGGTATAAGATACAATAATCAAATCAAACTTACTTCTTCACACTCCTTCATCTTCTTCTGTGCTCCATCAAATTCATAGTTGAGATAAACACATGCCAAGAACTCCGTGATGGGATCTTTGTAAGAGCACTGATCTTGCTGGATCACCTTGATAAATTCTTTGAATTGAGGTCCTCTCCTTTTGTTGACAATAAAAGCAGTGGCTAAGTATCTTAACATATGCGGAGCACTGGTTTGAATGGCATTCAGATACCTGAAAAAAAGTGAAACCATCTTGTCAGAGAAAGCAAATAAAAGACTTGGATAATAGCGAAGCCAAATATGTAAACCAAGAGAAAACAATAATGCATGAACAAACAGTAAGAAGAAGTAAAATTATCTAGCCACAGAGAGAATTGCTATGTTTAATTCCAACAACAAACTCCCTTAGGAAACAAATCTCCAACCATAAGCAGTCTGGCCGAAATCTGGACAAGAGATGACCTATTATAACCATGAAGCTTTGACCAAATGTATGGCAAATCATATGGTAGGTTGCATATTAACTTTTCATATTAATCAATGATAGAAGGAATTCCATTAAATATCTAAACATGTTTTACTCCAGCAAAATACAAAACTGAAACATAAAAAATATAAAAAAGTGCACAAAGAACATATAAGCTTAAAACAATAGTGTTGCAAACTACATAAATAATGAGATCATAGGGTTAGTTATTGAAGTGACATACTTGTCTTGATTAAACAGGTCAATGATATGTGTTCGTCCATTGTCATGGTTGAAAAAGATGAAGAGGCTCCAATGCATAAGCCATATTCTACTCTGAACTTGGTTCAAAGGCGATGAGAAACTCTGTAGCAAGAAAAATGCAAAATACAAACAATTGGGTCAATGAATCAAGGGAAATCAAATATACAAAACAGAAACCGTATAATCAATCTTTATTATAACCGAAACCTTGGAATCAATTATTTCTTTCAAGCGATTAAGTTCTTCGAGAGCAATATCCCAGTTTTGCATCAGTATCTGAGCTGCCAGCTTCCCCCAAAAAGCGTTCAAACTCCTTTCACTGTTGGTACATAAAGCCCTGTACTGATACAGAAAATCAGCAGCACCCGGTAGTTACCACATTCAAACTGGAACTTTGCATACTGATATAATGCCTCTATCTAATCTGGACCAATCTGTAAGAAGTAATTTTCTCCCCCCATCAAAATTATTCCAAAAAATAACCTATTCAACGAAAAAATCAACCAAAAAAACAGGGGGAAAAAAACAGACCTGGTAACGGTCATTGAGCATCTGGAGATTATACTGTTTATCAGCACGCAATTCCTGGACCGCGTTAGGGTTCTGCAGGAAAGTGACGAGAGGGGAGGCGGCGTCTTCCAAAGCCTTAAGACGAGCGACAACTTCGACTCTCCTGTCGATCATGTCCTGGGGGACATCATCGGTTTGGTAAAGGCTGTTGTGGATATCCATAGCGTAGTCGACCATGTTCGTCTTGTTCAACAGCTCGATCTTCGCTTTCAAGATCTGCTCATATGGGTATAGCTGTCGCTCTTGCAAGAACTCCAGCAACGGAAACACCAAGTGCCTATCGAGATTCGGAGCGATCCGTGGGGTTAAGTCGTAGGTTGCCATTGGCTCCGACAGCGTCTTCGTCTTGATCTTCGCTTAGGGTTTTAATAACAAATTGAAACGCTAGTAGTGGATAAAAGGTTGAAAGGATTAGGTTTTTATGGGGTTTAGCTATAGTTTCGAGAAATATCAGTCACGTACTATATCATATGGCTGTGAGCTGGGCTTTCTATTTTTCGTTTCGAATTGGGTTTTTTTTTTTGCAAAATATAATTTCCAAAATTTCATATAATAAAAATATTATTTTAATATAAGTTAATAGGATTATGATATATTTTAATAAAACTCTTTAGTTTTACATAGATAAAGAATCATTAGATGTGTGAAAATAGATGATTGAGATTGACTATTTATTTTTTTCGATGAACATCTTCTCATTTCATATTGTTAATGTCAACTATCTATTTACATTTATCTAACGATCCTAAATCGATGTAAAACTAAAATATTTTTACATAAAGTAACATGATCTTATCTCTAAGTTAATGACTATTTATATGTTTTATTAATATTATTATTAAGTATGGTAAAGTACACAAGTAGTTCCGATTATAAAACATTATTTTGTAGAGTCTCTCAACTATTAAAAGTTATAAAATAATCTTCTAATTATGGGACGTTGTTTTGTTGAATTTCTCGACTACTAAAAGTTAGAAAATTGTCATCCGATTATCGATTATTTATATGCTTCAAACTCTATTTTTTCGTTAAAAAATTAACGATATTATGCACTAGAAGTTAATTTGCTAATTAGGATATGATAAAATTATATTTTAATGAAGTCTACTGACATTACATTTACTTTATATTGTTGGTTCGATGACATAATGTATCAAGCACCGGCTCTACGATATAATATAAATAAAAATTCGATAAAAATACAACCCAATCGGTTTTGAGATCAGATATTAACATAGCCCAATCAACATCTTAACACCAAGCTCAGAATAGTAGAGTGATCATTTTATAACTTTTAATAGTCGAATGACTAAAAAAAGAACACCCTATAATCGATTGATCATTTTTAAGATTTTAATAGTATAAGACTCAACAAAACATTGTCTTATAGTTCAAAAATCATTTGTATACTTTACCTTATAAAGTAAAATGATAAATTCGAAAATTGATTTTAAAGATCACTCGATATCATATTTATATAAAATTCATCTTCTCTGTATATATTTTTTAAAATGTTAACTTTTAAGTGCATAAATCAAACGATTCCAGTTGTTAAGAGATTGCTATTATTTATTAAGGTCACGAATTCGAGTATCGTGTATGCATGAGTATGAAAGTTCATTGTCAAATGATTAAATATTTGAACGATACTATATTGTATTCACCTCATACTTATAAAAAATATTAATTTTTAATTTTATAACTTTTATATTTTAATTATAATTTTAATATTTTTTTGTATATATTTTTAATTTAATATTATAATTTGTTATATAATTTGATAGAATTTCACGTTTTATAAAATTAGGGCTTTATCAGATTTTTTTTAAAATATAAATAGACTTGAAATTTCCCTCTCAACAGTGATCGCATGAGAGCGATGGCGAGTGAGCAAGGCATGAGTAGCTGGACCGATCTTCTCCACTCATCCACCAAACTTCTCGAGCAAGCTGCTCCCTCTGCTCAGTTTCCTCCTCTTCAGGTCCCTTTGCTTTCTCTGCTCAGTTTCCTCCTCTTCAGGTCCCTTTGCTTTATTTTTCTCTGCTCGAAACCGGATTTCACACCCTCAACATTTTAAATAATCGTGAAAAAATTTGAAAATGATTAGGTTTTTGTGAAAATGATGTTGCTTCTGGTTATTCAATGTTTGGATGTCTAGAAAATGAGGTAGATTACGAGACATTGAAATGCGGAAAGACCTCAATTGTTCATGTATTTTCTGAAATTGAAAACTTCTGGCTCAAGCCTCATTCAAATATAGGATTAGGTTTTCCGTTGTTAAATTGTTAGAGAGAAGAGAGAACAAAAACTTTGCTCAACAATAGTCCAGTAGTAATGTGGTTTTGAGCTATTGTAGTTTATAGCATTGATTCTTTTTAATGCCGTGTTTATGTGCTGCTGAATTAAATGAGAGTATGAACTATCAAGACTTAAAAGCTTAAAATGTCTATAAATGTTTTAGAGGAGATAAATTTAGCTATATGGAATTCATGTCTTTGTCAAGTTCTGTTTGTTCTTTTAACAAGTAAACTGATTGGAGGATAATAGATGACTTATTATTTTTTCCACCAAGTAATTAGTCATCAATGGGGATTTATTTTCATCAGCCTAAAATTACTTTTTGGATATGTATTATGGAGGGTAAGAAACAGCTTATATAGACATTTTGGCCGATAAAACTTGGGAGTAAATGATGTAGGAGTGCAATGAAATTCGACTTTGAACTTTCTTCCTCTATTATGTTACATTATAATAAGAGTGAAAAGTTCTCCCTAGGCCATCCCGTTTGCACATCTCTGTTCGAGGCATGGACTCTAATACCCACAATGTTCACTATATTTTTTCAATTTTCAATTGCTTGAAGGCCTTGATAGATTTTTTTACTATTTATTATCTATCAATATAGCTGATATTAGTTAATCCCACGATAAATTTAAGTGAAGCCACCCTCTCCTGATAATGCCAATAAATTATAGTAACATATTCATCAATGTGTCAATAATTGAAGTTAGCAACTTGGTTCTAAGAACCTTGGTTTGAGCGTTATCTATTTGTTGGCCCAACCAAATGGAACATCAAGTGTCAATTTTTTTTTCTTTCATTTCTTTTTGTTGAATGAAGCTTCAGTCAGTATGCATCTCAGCTGAGATCATTATTTGAAATAGGAAATTTATTAGTAATATAGATCCATGCTTTTGATTTTTATTGACAATTTGCTAAACAACTATGTATATTCAGAGAAACTTAGATCAGTTAGAAGCATTATCTAAGAAGCTCAAGGCCAAAACCTTAAGAACAGAGGCTCCTTCTCAATCTATAGCTGCCACAAGGTAATTTTACAATTCAATTACTTTATTTCTCTACTGATTCTTGTGGTTACTGTTGGTTAAAAAGACAGAATGTTAGTTGAGAAAGTAAGAAGTTGTTAGCTTGGAACCTTGTTGAGGTAGCAAGTGAGTTGAAGCAACAATCTAAAGGGTTATCCTTTGCTTAGCTCTCCCAGATTTCTACTTTAGCATGTGGAATATATAAAAACTGTCTTTGTTGCATCTTAAGGCTACTTGCACGTGAGGGAATCAATGCTGAACAACTTACACGTGATTTGAAGTCTTTTGAGTTGAAGGTAAGAAGTATCTTTTATGCTCCATACGTTGACTTATGGTAACCCAGTTTCTGTGCCTTCAAACTCAACCTTTTAAATCTTCCATATAATTAGTTACTTTTTTTTTCTTTGTTATAGAGGACTATATGTTTAATGAATATTTTTAGAAGGGTTGATATTGGCATCAATATGTGAAGATAAGAACGTTTTTATTGCCCCAAATTTTATCTTCTATCATTAATGATATTTGATTTCAGATTTCAGATTTCAGATTTTTACTGTTTACATGCCATTTGGTCCCCTGAATACATACATCACTAAGTCTGGTCATCAACTTCAGAGAGCTTCGCTATTGATTGCTTCATGATCTTGCTTCAAAATTCCTTTTTGTTTTTTCATTTTCATAGTTCTATTTTCTCCTTTTTACAAGCTCACAACATGTTTTCCTCTCATTGATCATCTTTTTGAAGACCACGTTTGAGGATGTTTTTCCTGCTGAAGCAACGAGTGTCGAGGAGTATCTGCAGCAGGTAGTATTTACTCTATGGATTGAATACTTCTAATTTAATCTTGATCGCTAATTGCCAACCATTGCCATTTCCCTCGGTTAATTACATTCTTTTGGATTAGGCATGTTTTTAGTTCAAAGTTATTGTTATCAACTAACTATTTGCTGTATAATGTGTGAACTATAGCGTTTTGACTGTCATACACACTGAATAAAAAAAGATATAAAATATGTATTGGTTAAACTGCATGCACATTTGAATGTTCTTTTGCATGCAAAATCGGTTCTTCTTTAAATCTATTCCACAAGGGAGTGAAATGTGGATTTAACCGAGGTACAGGCTTCCTGCCATCCTGAGAGGTTTATTCCTCTTTGATCCACTAACCGGTAAATAAAGGAGACTTAATTTCTTTATATGTTGTGTATTTGTTTTATGATATTATCTGAGATGGCTTGCATATCTCTATTATACTTTCTATTTCTCTTAACTTTGGGTGCATTTTAAATAACTTAATCACTTTGCTGTTGATATTATAAGTGGTTCGTTGGCATGATTATAGATTTTCATTCATTATCGGTGATTAGTGAATGAAAACTTGATTTTGTAAAAGATAAAAATTAATTGTATTAAATAAACTATTATGGATGAGATTATAAAGATACTTGTTGAGTTTTTGATGGGTAATATTACAGAGGAGAAATGTGCACATGTGCTGTGTGCTTTTATATCTTTTTGCCCACTTATAATCCTTAGGATGTTCAGTCAGTTTTTTAAGGGATAATACCGAAATAAACCCTCAAAACTTTTTCAAAGATGAAAATGACTAAACCCTTGATCTTTTGTTGATTGGAATAGTTGTGAACTTTTATTTTATTGTAATTAGAACCTTAAAATTGTATCATATTCATTTTTTAAAAAATCTTTTTATTTGGATGGGTAAGATGAGCGAAATGCCCATCCAACTCAGTTGGTAGAGCACAAGGCTCTTAACCTTGTGGTCGTGGGATCGAGTCCCACGGAGGGCATTTCATAATTCGGAGGTCTCCCACGGAAGCTGCTCCCAACCTAGCGTTTGGAGCAGCGTACTATCATACCTCTCCCTTACCCCATTACATATGGGAAAAAGGGTCAACTAATTATGTTCTCTTAATTTTTTTGAAAATTGGAGTTTATTTGGTTGCTATTCCTTTTATATTATCACAACTCTTGCTATGCTGCTTGAGCAAGTCCTTTTCACATTTGGTTGTGCTGTTATTGTATCCCTGGCTATCTTTAAATGCATTCTGTCACTCCTCAACACGGATTTCTGCTTCTTAATTTTGGAGGTGGTTGACAGATAATTATTTGGAAAATGTTTTGATCTCAGGTTCATGAAATGGCAATGGTTTCAGCCATCCAAGAAGCTCAGAAGGATAACCTCAGAAGTTTTAATGACTCTGTGATGAAAGTACTGGAGGTTAGTATCCCCACTTCTGAGGGTGAAGTACTTCAATGCAATATCTTTCCTTGTGGGATTTGTATTTTTATACGTTCATATGAATTATCTTCTTTTTTCTTTTTGGAAACTCTTAAGTGGATGCAGTTTAACCATGGGTTTCCTGCTAACTGGGTAGTTTTTCTTGTATCACAATAGATGATGAATTGTTTTTGATACATTGAACATAAAAATTATCAAATTGATGATGACAACATAGTTTGTAAGTTTTCTTCTTTTACGTGATTGATCGGTGATGTCTAATGCCTTGTAGGAAGACTGGCAAAAGGAAAAACGGGAGTTCTTACAGAGCTTGAGCCGAATTTCAACATTACCTAAGACCAACATGACTGATAAAAGCATCGGTGGTGTACGGTTAGGTCAAATAGTTTCCATGACTACTAGTCGTCAGGTTCCATTGGGTCCTTCTGCCACGGGGCTTCTACCTTTAGCTGACAAGCCAGTTGTTGACAAAAAAGTGTCGGTATATGCTGAAGTTGTTAAAGATCTGAACAATGCAAGAGAACGAGGCTTGCCATTTAACGTAAGGATGATTGTCTTTCCTTTCAAGTTTCAAAAATTAATTTTCATTTTCCAAAATCCAAAATAATGAGCACTGATTGTCATCTTATTTGTTCTTTGTTCTTCAATAGTATTATGCTATATCTGTATGCACATGCATGGATTATACGGTTTTTATACATTCCAGTTGAGTATTATCCAACTTTCTCATTTTTTAGTGAAACCTTTCTTATAGTGAGTTCTTTTGAACTGATTTATTTTATCTCAATATTTATTTCTTTTTTTTTCTCCAAAATTTCTATATTATTATTTACTCATGATTGTTGATTATACATATTTTTGTAGCCTGCCACAGCTTTTAAGGTTGCTTATGAGAGTTTGGGCAGTGAAGCATCTGGTGGGAAATCAGTTAACATGCAGAAAATGTGGCGTCTTTTTCAGGTATGGTACATGCTATTGTTATCATGCTTATTGCTGCCAGATAAATGATTGTGGATAAGTTCAATGTTTTGGCAGAAATTAATGGGTGAGGATTCGACGATGCTACTGAGTGTTTCTAGAAAGATGTCAATAGTAATTGGTGCTAGACGTCACCTGGAATGTGGACATGAGAAATACATTATGGATATAATACAAAGCCATCCTGCACAAGTAAGAATCTTTTTAGCATCTTTATTGTTATTCTTCTGTTAACAAAATGCAGAAATAACTCTTGGTTTTGATAATGTTTCTGCTGTTGTTCCCTGTGTTCCTTCTCGAAATGACTTTCTTCCAATGATGAATTTAGTAGTGTTCTATGTTGTTTCATATTCTCTCAGAGCTCATATTTCATTCTTTGATCTCAATGTAGGCTGCTCTTGGTGGAGCTGTTGGAAATTTGCATAGAGTTCGCGCCTTTCTTCGGGTCTGCTTGATTCTATTTAGCTTCAAATTGCTTGTTCAACTTTGTTTCCTTACTCTTCTTTGTCTAAACGTTCTTTTCTTTGTCTGTGCAGATTCGTTTGAGGGATTATGGATTACTGGATTTTGACGCAGGAGATGCTCGAAGGCAGCCTCCCATTGATACCACTTGGCAGCAGGTTTTATTTAATTTTACTGATATTATTATAGTTAAATTCTAGATGAACATCTGTGATAGATGCTTAGTTTAAAAAAGCGCTGCTTAAGCGCGATTAAAGCGCTAAGCGACGCGAGCGAGGCCCCTGGCGCTTCAGCATAGCAAAAGCACTACGAATTCATTAAGCGGTAGTAATCGGGGCTTTTGCAGCGCTTTTAGCAAAGCGCTAATCGGCGCTTAATCGCGAGTTTAGAAGATACGATTCTGGGCTTTAGCAGATACGATTTTTGGGCTTATTTAGGGTTTAGCGGGTTATTAAATTATCAGTTTTGTTTTTTTTTCTTGTAGCTTCACACTAAGAAACGAAATAGATTGGCACAATCTAGATTGAATGACATGGTGTTTGTGAAATTCAATCATGCCTTGGAGCGCCGAGCTAAAATTAAGGAGACCGATCCCATTCTTTTGCAAGATATTGATGAGAGCAATGAGTGGTTGATGGGAAGAATGGAAGAAGATGAAGATGATGATGAGGCGGTGTTTGTTGGTGACGATTTGACATAGAGTGATGTTGCTAATGCTTCCGGTGCATATGAGCCTAGTTATCTAACTAGAGCATCAAAAGTAGTGAATGATGGAGCCGGACCATCGAGAAATGATAAAGGAAAATCTCCTGCTCATAATCCTATCTCTAGTAGACCATCTCGTAGATGCTTAGTTGATGAAGATGAGATGGAAGAAGATATTGGAGTGTCTAGTGATGAAGGAGATGAAATGACCATCCAGCTCAGTTGGTAGAGCACAAGATTCTTAACCTTGAGGTCGTGGGATCGAGTCCCACGGAGGGCATTTCATAATTCGGAGGTCTCTTACGGAAGCTGCTCTCAACTTAGTGTTGGGGGTAGCCTACTATCTTACCTCCTCCTTACCCCATACATATGGGAAAAAGGGACAGCCATTTTTAGTGATGAAGGAGATGGTGTTGTCCGAGTTGATGACGATGACGATTTAGAGGATTTTTAGTTATAAGGAATTGAGGGTTTAGAAAAATACTTTTGTTCATCTCACTTTAGACTACTTTTAGTGTAGACCATCTTTTGAGATTAGTATACTCGTATAGTCGTATGGTTAATCGTATATAAGTATTTAAGTGTTTATAACTTATAAGTTATAAGTAAATTGAGAATTATATTTTGGTGTTTAAGTACTTATAAGTTTTGAATATATGTATTGACACTTTGATATTTAAGTATTTATAAGATAATTTATAAATATTTTGTATTTTTTTGTGAATTTCGGCCTTTCTGGCGCTTCTTGTGCATCAAGCGAGCGCTTAGCGCTTTGGCGTCTAGGACCCTAGGCGCTTTAGGGCGCTTTACGCTTTTTAAAACCAAGGATAGATGTCAGACACCTGGTTTTAATATGTCATTGCTTATCTTGAAGTAACTTTTCAAACTGCATTATAGTCTAATGTTGAACTACTCTTTCAAATTAGTATGCTTGTCTTTGTTAAAATGACATGTATACTATTTTGTTGAAGCCATCTTTTAGATAGTTGAGAGATAAGATATGGATGCTTTTTAGTTTTATGGTGCCGAGATGTTATTTTTTATGTGGTTTATAAAACAGGGCACCGTTCTAAATATCAGATGACGAGAGCACTTTCTTGTTCTGATTTCTTTCCCAACTAAATTTGATTCATTTGCTATTTATCCTTTTTTCTTTTTCCAAATCACTAAGTTTTGCTAAGGATCCTATCTCTTTGTTTTAACAGATTTATTTTTGCTTGAGGACTGGTTATTATGATGAAGCAAGACAAGTTGCCCTATCATCCCGTTCTTCTCACCAGTTTGCACCACTGGTACTAATTGTTTACTGTTTAATCCATTGTGCTTGACAATCAACATTACTCAATACATCTTTTTGACAGCTTACGGAGTGGATTAACAATGGAGGCATGGTGCCAGCACACATTGCAGTTGCTGCTGCAGAAGAGTGTGAAAAGATATTCAGAATGGGTGATCGGGTAGGTCGAGCTGCATATGACAAGAAAAAGTTGTTGCTCTATGCTATCATATCCGGGTCTCGCAGGCAAATTGACTGTCTCCTCAGAGATCTACCTTCACTTTTCAGTACCATAGAGGATTTCCTGTGGTTCATGTTGTCAGCAGTACGGGACATTTCTGGTGGAAACCCATCTAACGAGGGTTCAGTACCATACAGTCTTGATGATTTGCAAGCTTACCTAAACAAATTTGAGCCATCATATTACACAAAAAATGGAAAGGACCCTCTAGTATATCCATATGTCTTACTCTTAAGCATCCAGTTGCTACCAGCTATTTCATATTTGTCTAAAGAAGCAGGACATGAAGGATACAACATTGATGCTGTCCACATAGCAATTGTGCTAGCAGACAATGGGGTCCTTTCTGAAGTTGCTGGAGCCGGACAAAAACTAGGAATGATGGATGCTTATGCAGAAGCATCGAGCATTATTAGGTAATTTGGCTCTATGTATCTAAAGCTTGGTAATCTTCAAATGGTTCTAGAATATTACGCACAAGCTGCTGCCGCACTAGGTGGTGGACGTCTGTCGTGGACTGGGAGAGGTGGCGTGGATCAGTTAAGGCAGATGAACTTAATGCTGAAGCAGCTTCTCACTGAGGTATTAGTCCGAGATGGTGGGATTTATCTTTTACTTGGTTCAAGAGGTCCTGGAGAAGAAGGTGAACTGGGACGATTTTTGACTGATCACAAAGCAAGACGACAGTTTCTGCTTGAAGCTGCCCGCCAATGTCAAGATTCTGGGCTGTACGACAAGGTAATTCCCTTTCTCCCTCTTTGCTTCACCAATGTTTATGTTTTTGTTATCGGATTGTGAACATTTTAATTGAAGCTAACATTTTGGTAAACGCCGGCAATTCCAAACCTTCACTGTCCTTGATACTTGCAGTAGTAATGCGACTTCCTCTCTGATTCTGTATCTTATCTTTGTGGGTTTGCTTTTGACCTTGTGTTGAAATTCAGTCTATAGAGATTCAGAAGAGAATTGGAGCTTTTTCGATGGCATTGGAAACAATAAATAAGTGCCTTTCCGAAGCAATTTGTGCTTTCTCACGTGGTAGATTAGATGGCGAGAGTCAAACTTCTGGACTCATTCATTCTGGCAACGAGATCTTCGACACTTTCAAATATTATCCTGACATCAGGTCATTCCAATTCTATTCATTCCCCTGTTCTTTATTACCATTTTGCTGGTATGTCACTTTTAGTATTGTCAAGTTTTGTGATCAATGCTTATTGAAACCATTTTGACCAATGTGCAATATTTGACACACGACAGGAAAAAATAACTAAAACGCGACACATATTGTCGGCATATTTGTCACTTTTTCCTTCGAGTTGTGATACATTCTATGCCATTCCTTGGGTCATTGTGATTTTTTTCACAGTTAATATATATTTTCTGCTAATAGGATTCAATCTTTCTGCTTTCTCCTGACGTTACTTGGTTTATTTTGCAGTCTCCAAGACAGGGAACAGGTTCTGGAACAACAAACCGTATTAAGACAGCTTGAGACTATATTGGCGATCCACAAAATGACAAGAACAGGCCAGTATCTCGATGCTCTAAGGGAAGTTGCCAAGATCCCATTCCTTCCATTCGATCCGCGAGCCCCTGATATTACCTCCGATGTGTTTCAGAGTTTATCTCCTCATGTCCAAGCCTGTGTGCCTGACCTGCTAAAGGTTGCTCTAACTTGTCTGGACAATGGATCCGATACAGATGGGTCACTTCGTGCTATGAGATCAAAGGTATGCTGGCATCTTCGAATAATAGTCTCACGTACTGCTATCCATGATTGCAATTGGGTGCTTAATTCTACCCTTATTTTCGTTGAAACGACTGGTTAACTACGTGACCTGAGAAAAAGAAAAAGAAACCGAGTTGAGTGAACCCTGTGGTTTGTAATAGATGTATAATTTGTTTTTATGCTGATCTTTGCAGATTGCAGCCTTCCTTGCAAACAACATGCGTCAGAATTGGCCCCGTGATTTATGCGACAAGATTGCCAAAAGCTTGTAAAGTGAATCATCGGTGACGACAGAGTGAAACGCCGGAAAATTCAACAGTATCTAAGGCATGGCGGCAGACCAAAAAAATGGTTTAGTGATGATGAGCAGAACTCAACTCCCTTTGTAGCCATAACTTGTATGATTGGGGAGTCTTTTCCAAATGAAATAAATAATTAACCAGTTAAATAATCAATGGTGGTAATTGAATTTGTTTAATATTTTATATGGAGAATTTTGCTTTTCATATATCTTAGTAAATAATTACATACCTAATATAAAATTAAATCATTTTTATATATATTTATACTTTTAACATTTTAATAAATTAATAATTAAAATTTGAACTGTTACAACAATCTTAATATCAATCGTCATAAATGAATATTTTAACTCCTAATTATTGATTTAAAATACAAGTTTTGAAATAAATCTGAATTCCAAAATATAAGTTGCTTTTATATTTTATTTACAAAATATATTATTGAGCCACGTTATCCAGTTGATGAAATACACTCTTTTTAATCGATAATAAAATATTTCTAAAGAATAATTAAATAATAAAATGAGACGTAAGATTCAAATTCTATATTTATGAACAAAAAAGACTGAGTTGGAAAATTTCCCCTTAATGAACTTTTATAATGTAATAATAAACTTTTATAATATAATAATAATTCATCCAGATTAGTTAATCAATAGGTTCGATAGTGATACTTATAAAAAATCAAGTAATTCAATGATAATAAAATCCAAGGTGTAACACACACAATGGAATTTATATACCTCAAAAGATTATCATGAGTCTGAATTGAAAGGTAAGAAAGTCTGCATATTTATCTGAATATACTTTTATATCCTTAAAACCAGAACTCAGTAATTCAAATATCTAAGAAAAGAAAGTACTTCAAATATCTAAGAAAAGAAAGTACATTAACAACATACTAATCATATTTAACCTAATGGGGATTCGGAGATGATATATGAGGAGACACAGGCAGGAAGATTACCACCTCGAAATCTGGGGGACTCGCATCTCTGGCTATAATGACACATGCAAGCCCAAATAAGAGTACCTCTTCACTGCCTCGATCTCGATTTGGCGCGTCGAGCTTCATCCGGTGTTGAGGGAAACAATTCCACATACCGAGACCCTATTGTCATCTTATCCTTGCACATTGCTCTTTTTGCCTCATCAACAGAAGCAAACTCCACATACGCCTCTCCAGTAGCTTTTCCATCGGGGCGGCATGCAATGTGTATCCGACCCTCGATGATCTTGAAATCTCCAAAGAATTCAATGATTTCAGACTCCTTCACTGAGAAGGGAAGACCACGCAGCTTGAGTATCTCTGTGTATTCCATTTGATCCTTATCACTGAATCTTTTTGCTCGAGATGGTGGTGGGCTTCCATGGAAATCACTATCGTAGATTCCTTCATAGTTCACCTCCGCAGCCACAGCATGGTAATAGTCCTGCCTCTTGCATCGGAAAACTTCCACATAGCGCCGCCCCATGTTTTGTCGATCTCTTTGCAAAGCAAACTCCACCTGCATGGACCCAGCAAAGACGACAAAGGCCTCTCCAGAGAACCTTCCATTCTTGTTGACCAGCAAAACATCGACAATGTCCAGTCCAGCAAAGAATTTGAAAATGTCAATATCAGTGCAGTTGAAAGGAAGACCCCTCAGACGGACCACAGGAAAGGCAGGTGGATGGTAACCACCACCATAACCATAAGGTTGATAGCCACCCATGCCGCTGTTCACTGCGAAGTAGGGAGTTGATTCCATCATTCTTTGTCTCTTTGAGCCGACCTCGTACCCGTCCGAAACCCCCCCGCTTCCCAACATTGCCCTTCAATTATCCATACCCAAAAGGCAAAAAAAGAAAATCCCCCACTAAACCTGTTAATAAAACCAAACCCAACCCATACTTCCCAAATACTTAATTTCTTAAATTCCTAAATCATGTATTCTAATAACATTTTCCATATTCATAACCCTCCTTCAAACAATAAACATAAAAAAATCATGCATATAATTCAATTCATGATTCATAATCTTTTTTTATTATATTCTAAAGAACCATAATCCTATATTTTTACATCTTACCCAAACAATTTCATTAACAGCAGAAAGATTCATATATGATATAAATTATGCAAGTATTTTCCATAATATCATGTTTAATTTCATTGAAAAAACAAAATTGATCAAACAAAAAGGAAAATAACATCAAATTCAGCCATGAAATTAATTAGGTCTTAGCAGAAAAGTTGAAAAAATAAAGAAATTAATTTGGGCATCTAATCCAAAATTCTCCCGTTTTATCTTCAATTATTCCGTTAAAGCCCAATACAAAATCATAGCAGAGAAAACTTAATTTCATTTAAAAAAAAGATCCAAAACCAAATTCACCCTCGAAATTAGCTCTTAGCATAGAACTTTGGGAAAATCGGAATCTAATCAGAATTTAGCTTGGGGGGTATATATTAACCCATTTTTTATCTTCAAGTAATTTCAAACATTTATTCGAATTCAAACACAGAATCAGAACAGAAAAAACCCTAATTCCAATCAAGAACACGAGTTAGGGGCTTTGACGAACTTACCCTCTGGAACCGTACATGGCGTCGTTTGAGGTGATTTTAGATCTTCGATTTGTTAAGAGGAAATTGCAGAAAATTTCACAGCTAATCACAGAACGCTTCGCAAACAAGAAAACTAGCAGCCAAAATTTTCCAAATAAAAAACCGAAATTTATATATGAAAATGGGAGTACGGAACTTTGTAAGGCTATTTAAGGGTAAACTACATCATTCAGCACTCAACTTTTCTTTCTCCTATTTTATTCACTATACTTTCAATATTTTTAATTTACTCACTGAATTTTTTAATAGCTCATGTTTTAGTCATACAATTTTTTTAAATTTAAAATAAATAATAAAAATAATATTCTATTATTATTAAATTTAAAAAGATATCTTTGCCCCTTTTAGTTACCATCGACCACCATTGGCCTTTAAAACGGACAGCCGTTTGATCCCAAACGATATCAAGAGACTAATCTTGACACGCTGACTGAAACATTTCAATTTTCTCACTTTCTATATAAAATATTTGAATTCGGAGCATGTTCCGAAAAAATTGAGGTCGAATTCAAATTCAAAGGGTCGAGGTGAAGCAACCCATGAAATTTGGAATCGAACGACCACTATCTACTGCCTTCGGCGTTTCGGTTTCCTCACTTTTGATTGGATTTGGAGCATTTTTCGAAAAATAAAGGTTGAATTTGAACTCAGGGGGTTGGACGATAAAATTTGGGACCTAACGACCACCATCTACGACCGTCGATGGTGGAGTCCAACAACGACAAACAGTTGATTGTCATCATTTGATTTTAATTTTATATTTAAATTATTTTATATTAAATTATAATAAAAATACCACGTAATATCAAAATAATAATAAAAACAATTCAAATTGATCAAAATATGAGCAATTCGAAAGTTCAGTGAATAAATTACAAAAGCTGAAAGTACAATAAGTAAAATTGAAGAGATAGTAAAGTTTAATGATGAATGATGTAGTTTACCTGCTATTTAATGAAAGGGTAAATTCTACAAATGACCCCCGACTATAGTACATTATTTTATTAAGTCCTCTGACTATTATAATTATAAAATGGTCCTCTCACTATACGTTATGTTTTGTTAAATTTTTCGACTATTAAAAGTTACAAAATAGTTATTTGATTATTCATATTTTTTAAATTTGTCTTTTTTGTTTAAAAAATTAACATATTTCTAAGCTGGAAGTTAACATGCTAACTTAGATATAATAAAACCATTGTAGATGCTCGTTTTTATCCAGGGCTGAGTCGGAGCAGACTCGAAGCAATCGTAACCTAACCCGACCTTGAACCAGTTGCAGGCCCAACTCAAGCCCAATGGACGACAGTTGATTGCAGAGGAAAAGAGAGAAGTTAACGTTGGTTTTTAGCAGTTTTTTTATATATACGGGGAGATTAACCATCAGAAAGAAGGGGGAAATATATCAGGAATCCATCACCATTACGAGAAAAAAGAAAACAGAGACCATTTGCTGGAAAAGCCGAAGAACACAAGAACAAAAACACGGGGAAATCGTTCGTTTCTTTTTCAGAGCAAAGCAAATATAAAAGAGCGTGTAAACAACTAGCAAATTGGAAATTCAAATCTTGTAAGATTTTCTTTCCATGATCATTTACAATTACATTTTTGTTATATTTGTTTTAATAGCTTTCATGATAAATTCAAAACAAAAGGAACAAGGTGAATCAAATTTACCTTCGATTTTAGGCTGGCGTTCGAAATAATTGAGTCGTAGGTGCCTGAGTCTTAGCGTCAAGGTTGTAACGTTGTTGGAATCGGGGTTAAAGTGTTGAGATTCTTTTGTATAACCTGCGTATGGTTCAAAATGTAGTTTTTAGATTATAAAAAGAGGGGTTTCAAGATAGAAAAAAAGAAAAAGATTTGGTCTGTTACCTGACTGGTTCGAGTTTACTGTCGAAATAGAAAGGTCAGTAGTTGTTAGGCCCCTTCGTCGGAGTTGTAGAGTAGTCGCAGTCGAGAGAATTCCATATTCAACCTTCATCGTAGTTTCGTTTTTTAAGCTTCGGGTATGTGATTTAGAAAAAGAGGAGAGCATGTTTGAGCCTAGCCGATGATGGAACTCGGGTGAATGATGGGCATTGGGGCTCTCGGCAGCCAGGTGAGCACAAAGAAGATGAGTGGAGAGATGCTTGGGCGAGCTGCAGCGTGCGAGAGATAGAGAGTGGAGAGTAAAGCCGAGTAAGGCTTTGTGCGTAAGATTTAGGTTAGGTATAGTTTATTTAGTTTTTATATTAAATGTTTAGGGTTAATTTGTTTAAGGTCCCTGAAAGTTCATTAAGTTTTTATGCTTTAGTCACTGTTACCATGTTTTTTTATTCTATTTCAGATTTTTGGTGTATTGAATAAGTAGTTTTGCCCTTTTTGTATATGGATTACTTACGTAGGCTCCTATTTGAAAATAATTAAGTTTTAGTCCTCTCAGATTTGCAATGAATGTGCATTTAGGTCACTTGCTTATTTCGAATTTTACATGCTTAATTCTGTATATATTTAAATTTAGTCATTACATTTATGTATATATACTTTTTAAATTTTTAGTTTAGCATGTTATGTTTTTGTTTTTATATTTGAGTCATATTTGTACATTATATGTTAGTATGCGTGGCTTATGATCTTTAATTAAAATATATGTAATTTCTTGTATGTTACATTGTATGATATTTTTTAATTTTGTATAATTAATTTTGGCATGTCATCCACTTTTTGCACAATTTGTATGATACATTCACGTGCATAACTTGACCTATTACATAATTGGATTAAGGGTAATATACTTTTAATTTAAAATTGTTTTAAGTGGGCAGTCATAACTGATTTGAGGTCCGCTTTTAGTGAATTTAAAATAAAAGTGTATCCCGAAAGTGAAACCAAAAATTGATTCGTCACCTAAAATTTGGGAATGAAAGAAAAGGAAATGTTCGTTTATTTAAATTTATCGAGAAAAGGTTGTTATAGATTTTAAGATCTGGTCTCGATATTTGTAAATAATCGAACATTCTTTATCTTTCTAAAACGACTCGGTAATTTTAATTTAATTTATTTGAGTGCTTTTGAATGTTTTAAATTGACATTTTTATTTTATGGGATCAAAAATCAAAATAAATTCGAATTTGTAAAGTTCATTGCAAAGACGTTAATTAATCGACTAGGTACCGTTTTAGGGCGTTGTGGGGGTGCTAATCCTTCCCTGCACGTAACCGACTCCCGAACTCGGATTTAAAATAACAAACAATTTTGGGTGCCCAATCACACCCTAATCAAAGATTGGTGGCGACTCTTTGAACTGTATTTTTTTCGATCGTAAAGGAAATCCAAAATTTTTCGAAACGAGAGGTTTTTAAATCGCATTTGTTTTTAAATTAAAAATAAGTTGAAAGAGGTAAATTAAAAATTAATGTGGTTTTTTAAATCTAACCTTTTAAGAAAAATCATTTCGACAGCTTGGCGACTCTGCTGGGGACCTTTTTTTTTAGAGAGTCAGGCTGATAGTCGATTAATTAATTGTCTTTGCAATTGGAAATTATAAATTCGTTTTAATTTGGTTTTTGATCCCTTGCTTTGTTTTTAATAAGTTTTGTTTGTATTTTGATTTCTTTAATTTAATTCGATTGACAATTAAATAGTTGTACTGATCTGTTTGCTAATGATTTCAGAATAATTGTGTGTTTTGGGAATTGATTTTGAGTGTTTTTATTGATTGTTTTTTCGCTTTTCCTCACACACTGCACAGCTACATTATCATAACATGAGATAAAACCCCGCTCCGTCCTAATTAAGTAGGAGTGAGAGACTATGCCCTCGTGTGGTTTTCACCTCCGCATGGGATAGTGGATTGCTCCTGGAGCTCACGCCTTATGGTCCTCGTGATGGTAATCACCTCCGCATGGACATAAGGAGATGTGTTCCCTCGAAATTGAACTCGATCCCCTAAAGCCTGTGATGGGCCAGGATTGAGGGTTCGGTAGCCCAAGGGGGCACCGACAAGGACAATTCGAGAACCTATTACTTTAGAACCGAACCCAGCATATAGTAAACATAGAGCCTGAATTTAGGTCGAGCCTAACCTAAACCTTAAGAGTCCCGTGAGGAGGGTACACAAGGAAAAGCTTTTTGAGTCATTTATTTTCACTTTTCGAATAAATGCATGCGAACTAGAAATCATGCGGTTAGGTTTATTTGTCAAGCAAGCATGCGAATTAGATATTATGCGGTTAGGGTTTTAATGTTCAAACAAAGCATGGGGGTAGATATCATGTTGGGTAGGATCTACTAAAACATGATTGGGTAGCCAGCATGTGATGGTAGGTTTTATTTAATGATTATGATATTTATTATCTTGTTGTTGATATTATGTGTACTAACCCATTTTTTTTCTATGTCTATTTTATTTTGATTTTATTGCATTCGCATCTTCATGTCATCACAAGGTGTTAATTCGCAAGTGATTGACTAATAAAAAGGCTGGTCATATTGAAACAAGAAATTCTTAACCATGTAGTCAAAATAAGGAGGTTTAAAGATATTCAGATGATCCATGAAGAGGGACATCCGATGAATGAAGAAATCTGAAGCTGATTGAAGACTTCCTTTAAAAGAGTGAAGGCCAAGATATTCTCAGAAGATAGATACAATTATACCAAGGACAAGAAGACCCTTCACAAAGACATGAAGACCACTTCGTATTGAAAGTAAACATGGAGACCTCAAGATTCAATTTAAAGACATCTGGTGTCATTAAAGGTGATAAAGTACGCCGACAACTTTGGGCGCAATATTAGATTCCATGAAGAGTACGGTTCAAGGGAATAAAGAAATGAAGAATCACATTTATATTTTGATTACATGGTGTACTGAATTCTTGTTGTCTAAATGAAGGTTGTTCTATGGTGGTCACTTTTGGAATTAAAACCTTGTGCATTTGCATTTGCATTCTTATTAGCATTAATTTATTTATTTCGTTATTGTTGCTTTTTGTCATTTTGTTATCTCATTTGTACTAACTTGTTTCTATGTTTTTTTTTCTCTTTGTCCGCATTGCATGATC